GCTTTCACGTCAAAAACATCCACTGTCAACACGATTGTTTATTCACCTTCTCCAAGTACACGCAAAACATCCACTATCAACACGATTGTTTATTCAACTTCTCCAAGTACACGAAAAACAACGAATGATTCTACTACTACTACTTCATCCAGCCCGTGCTCTTCGATACCTGTTTATAGCAATTTAACAACATCGGCCTCTGCAACAACAAAAAAATGTCAAACATCTTGTTTCAAATCAGACTTTGTATGTTATTACCATTGTCCCTTCAATATTGATTATTCTTCTGTTGGCTCTAATACTTCACCTTGTTCTAAAATATTGGAGACACCAAAGGCATAGACATGAACTTATTGAACTCGATCAGTTGATATCTGATCTTAATTCCGACGACGACGACGAAGAAATCATCTTTGAACGCAGAGTATAAGAAAAACAAACACGCAAAACATAACACATAATWCCTTTAATATAACCATCAAATAATCAGTTCGTATTACATGTTCTTTCTTGTTACAATTTTAAGATTTTTTATTAAGACTACTTGTTAAATAATTAAAAATTATTGTTCTCGTTTCCATTCTAAAAATCACCTATCTATCAAAAACGGAATAAATGTTGCTGAATAAACTGATATATACTTTTATGTTAAAAAACCCTGTTTTTGTGTTATATCGATCATTTATCCCATTTAATTCTATAATGATGATGATCAAAAAATAAACCTTAGCTATTTTTTTTTCCTAGTTAGCTACTTTTGCGTTACACRAATAAAAAATGTTTTTTGTTTGTGCTTAATCATTTGTTTGATTTTCTATGGCTAGGAAAAACGAAGGGTCGTTATTTATCTCGTCATCACTGCTGTCGTGAAGAAWTTGCCTGTCACTTTCTSTACTGTCGTCACTTTCTTCATCATCGTCGKAGCTAATCATCAAATCGATATCTGCTTCCTCATCATCATCCTCTGGTAAGTCATCTTCATAAGGGAACAGTTCGCCTAGATCTTGGGAATTGTTGACATAATGTTGCGAGTAAATATTTATCTCTGAAGGTAACACAACATCTGTTCTTTCACTCTCTGTCTGTTCCATGTGATTCGGTTTGACCCACGTGTATCCAAAGGGAAGGGTGATTTTCCCCCCATCAATGATGATTCTTTTATCAAAGACAAACTGATAC